TAAGCATTAAACAGGAACAGTACTTTATTGAGATGTAATTTATACACATAATCTTACTTTTATGTCTCTTTGCCATGTGTACATCCCACGTGCTCATAACCCAGAAATAGATGTAGAACCTCCGCCACAAGAGGTTCTTCCGTGCCCTTTTCCAATCAGTCCTTCTACCCTAGAAGTAACCCATGTTCCAGTATTTATCACCAGTAATTGCTTTTGAATTTTATCTGTGTGGAGTCACATTGTTTGTACAGAGGCCGAATCCCCAGAGTCTGGCACAGTTTCTGCAGTGTCTGGCACATGGCAGGTATACTATGTGAAAGAAAGCTTAGAAAAGAATGTTGGACCTCATTGGAAAGCAGGCTGTAGGTGGTCAGTGACCTCTCCAGGGCAAGAGGCCAGGAAAACCATGGATGCTGGGCTGGCCCAGGCTCCCTGATCCTGATTGCAAACTCTCAGCAGTGCACCTCCAGCTTCTCTTTGGGCTGCCTTTAGTCAAGTTGGTCTCATATCCTGGGCAGGTAGTGCCCCCTGCAGCCTGAAGGCCTGACCCTACTCCTCTCTTCTGTAGGGCTATAGGATCATGCAGGCCTGGAGCCCCAGTGCAGTGACTGTCTGGCACCAAGTAGGGGCCTGTGAAACAAGAGAAGTCACCTGCCATCTTATTTTTCTTTGAAAAGAGGTTTTCCTAAACTTTGGGGACTTTCCCTCCCTAGAATAAACAGAGCAAGGGCATGACAGGCCTTTTTGGTGGAGCTCTGCTGCCCCCAGGTGGGTAGCTTGGGACATTACCACAAAACAAGACCTAAAGCCTGGTGTTTTTTGGTCTCAGCTTATTTGCCTCCTCTCTTGTAGTTAGTGTCCTGGTCTCCTGGTCCCTGAGGAGCAGAGGTCCACAGGACCATCGCCTGTACTTCAGTCTCAACCTGGAATGGAGGCAAGCGAGGGTGGGAAATGGGGGAAAATGCCCTTCAGAGAACCAGCCCAGTTGTGAGTGTGGTCAGAGGTATCCCCTCATATCCCTCCTGCCCAGGGGAGGATGGGCTGGACATAAACTTTATAAGTCTGTCCTTGACTAAGTGTCTGAAAAGGTTTGATCTTGGGGTGGCAGAGATGGGTGAGGGAGGCTTCTCAGCAGTGGGGGACAGCACCTCCCCCACCGCTGCGGGGGTGTGGATGTGGGTGCTAGTCAGCAGAGGGGCCTGCCAGCCCCGCCCAATGTGGTTTGGTAGCTTTCTTATTGCACCTGTGGTTGGGGGTAGTGTAACGGCCCAGCGTGCCTCCTCTTGGCACGTGGCTTGGGGCGATGTTATCTCTAACTCTGTATTTTTAACTTTTCTTTCCAGAGGATGTGGCTTCTGTGGGCAGGCTTCAAAGGGTGCCCTATTTGCCCCTGTCAGCAACAAAAACGTCATGGAAATGGGAGGGGGCTGCCCAGCCCCAAACACCTGGAGGGAAGTGGGAGCCTTTTTCCACTTCCTGTTCTACTTCTGGCTACTGACTCAATGTCTGACCTGTTTATTAATTTCAAAATGCAGTTTTCTGTGTGATGCTCAGAGGAAACCCTATGTATGTGTGTGTTTGTGTGGAGGAGGCCTGTAGGCTGCCTTGTTGCCCAAGTGGCCTCTACACAGAGGGAAGGCACTGGCTGTCCTGCAGCCCTCCCAACCCCCTACCCCCTGCAGCAATCAGTATGTTTATTAGCAGGAAGGATGGCTCTGGGTCTCAGTGTGGCTCACTTTACCTTCTTCCCCCATGTTACATAAGGAGGTGGACTGGAGACTGGGTTTAGGGTGGGTCATGTGGAGAAGCTAAAGTGGATCAGTGAAGTGACATTGGGCCCTGGACCTTAGTGTGGTCACATGTGACTGGAGCTCAGACTCCTGAGAGAACTGTGTGCTTCCCAGAGTAACTTCTCCAGGCTTTGTTGGGTGAATGAAAGCCTGGCTGGGGCTGTCCTGGCCCTTGGCCACCACTCAGGTTTTTAAATTTTTTAATTTTTTAATGTGTCTCGTTGAGTTACTCTTGGCACCCAGTAAAACTGTGAAACAGTGGTTTACCTGGCCACCTCCTCTCTGAATTCTCACTTTCTCCTATACTCCCCAACCCTCAAATTCTGCTCCCTATCCAGTGCCTAATGGTGCTAATAATTCATTTGTTTATTTGGTGGCATTTACTGTGTGCCAGGCACAGTGCTAACCACTGGGGACACACCATTACCAAGGCACTCTTCCTATCACAAGGGGAGGATGGGCTGGACATAAGCTTTGTAAGTCTGCTGGAATTCTTTGCTAAGGTGTTACTTAATCTTAATAAGGTGATATTAGGGTTTTACATGTGACCTGGAGGAGTTCAAGTTTATAGGAGACACACACAAAAGTCCTTTAAGACTCGGGTGGCTGCCTGTCTAATGGTAGGTAATAGCAGGGGGGCCGCTCTGTGGGAATTTAAGACTCTGGATGCTCCTGAAGCAGACCTTATTTAACCTGCATTTTTCCTGACTGGACTTTGACTCCAGTTGCTCTAAGAGGGCAGATCTCTGAGGGAAGTTGCAGACAACACTCCATAGACTTAGGCCTGCATCATGAGGTCATTTGGGCCCATTTATCTGCCTCCAATGCTGACCTTTGGGGTAGTGGGGCATCTTTCCAGAGAAATCCTTTCTGTAGCTGGCCCTGATAACATGTTCTTTGCTGAGTTGTCAGCCTTGTTTCCATGAGGTTGGGTTCAAGCTGGTCAGTCTGCAGCTGTAGCCCAAGGCCCTGGCTCATAGGGCCTGGGGCTCTGACCATGCCTCCAGTTTTCCTCAGCTGCCTTTTCCCTTCAGGCTAAACAATGCCCACTTCTTACATTTGGGCCCTCCATACTGAGGGACCCTGCAATGGTTGTACTAGGCCCAGAGCTGACCCTTCTGGTGGGTACAGGAACCCTTATTGTGGGCCTCTCCACAGGCCATTTCAATGCTCCTAGATATCCCAGGTGGTGCCTGTAGCCTGACATGAGAACAGAGTGGTCAAAGGTGGATGGAGTTTCTGCCCATGCCCCACACATGCTGACCCTTTATCGATTGCTCCTCATCTACCTCTCTGACCTCAGCCCTTGCTGGCTTTAGGCTTAACAGCCTCAGATGTGAGGGAAAGTTCTTGCTGAGACCAAGGATTTTAGATGGAAACTTTTCAGGCTTTGGAGTTCATCCTGCTTTCTAGATGGCCTGCTTGGAGCCTCTGCTGAATCACCTTGTGTTGGTCCTCGGGTTCTCCAGGGTTCCAGTGACTACTGGGCCCTGCCATTTGAGGGCAGTGAGCTGGCATGGCTCTATAGGCTCCCATAGGCCTTCTTTATAGCTTGCACCTTCTCCATGTTTCAAGGAGGCCTCTGTCTTTGGCTCCTCCACTCTCTGACAGGCTTCTAATCCCTATCCAGAGCTCTCATGTTCCCTTCAGCCACAGAATAATGGGATCCAACTCTCAAGAGTGGACCTGCCTCCCCAACCACCACCTTTCTTTGTTGGGATCTTTTTTTTAATGCAGAACAAAGTGATTTGCCACTTGGGAGGTGGGGAGGGAAGATGAACTAATTTGTCCTAAGTTTTTAAAGGTTGATAAAGGCTTGCTCTACTAACCCTCCCAGGGGCATTTTCATTTAATAAGGGGGAAGAGAATGCTTTAATTAAAAGAAATTCCCAGTGATAGAATCTCTGGCATTGTGTCAGACACTCTAGGAGACAGTTTTAAGGAAGGCTCAAGAAGCCTCCGGAGTACCCTGCAGGTGGCAAATCCCTCATGGGAAAAGTAGTACCCATCCTCCCAAGTGTGAAAGTGACCTGCTATGATGACATTTCCTGAGTAAATCCCTTTAGTAATCTTTAAGGGATTCTATTTAGGCTGGAGATGAGACAGATTAGGAAGAACTGGGGATTCTGTTACTACCCTGAGTAGGACTAACCAGGGATGCTGGTTCTTAGTTCTATGGTGGTTACAGAATCAGAGATGCATGGAGCTTCAGGTAACCTCTGGTCCTACCTGACATTTTATAGGGGATGACCCTGAAGTTCACAGAGGGGAGTTCATGCCCCAGGTCACCTCTTAAAATTCCATTCCTATGAAAAGAAGCAGACCTGAATTGCAGCTGAATTTTCTGCTAGTGTGGACAGAGCTACCCAGGTGAACCATATAGCCATTTGAGGAAGGAACACCCTCTCATTCTTGGAATGAGTGAGCACTTCCCTTTGGTCTTGGTTGAGTAGCTGTTGGGTGGATGGCTGAGTGGTCTCTGAGGTGTGTTCCCATCAGCATCCCCAACTCTGGGGAAAGGTTCTCTGGAGTAGTGTGCTATGGGGCTCCATGGAATCCTATTCTTATCCTTGAGGTTGGAGCCTGAGACATCTGTTCTCCTTGGCCAAGTCCTTGGCTTGAGTAGGGAACTCATCTCCCCTTTCCTTATTCTCATGTCCAGAAGGTGGAAATGGAAATTCCTGCTGGGGTCACCATTTCCTCCCAACCCAGTTCTAAGACTGGGCACCTCAAGGTCTGGGCATGGGCCTGGGATCTGAGCAGGGCAATGGTGAATAGTCCTCAGCCATGAATTTGTGGGCAATGCACAGTTTCAATGATCTGAGAGAAAAGGCAAAAAAAGAAAAAGAAAAAAAAAAGTTCCTGGAGGGCAGGAAACAGTGGCATTTGGGAGACATTTGCTGTGTGGTCCTCGTCTGTCGAATTTCAGCTACCGGTCACTAATATTTATGTGTGTGGGCCTCCTGCTTTGCCCAGTGGTGTGGCAAGAAAACAGAAGTGCAGGGCCCAAGCTTGTAAGAGGATTTTCTTGGGGGCCAGAACAGCTTGCTGAGTGGAATTTTTTAGAGGTTATTCTAAGGAGAAGTTGACTTAAGCAGCCTGTTGAGTTAGGCTTCCTGGATAGCATGGTAGACACATGCCTTGGTTTGTCTCTTAACAGCATACTGAAAATGATCCCAACCAAACCCAATCAAACAGGAGCACAGTCTCTGCTCTTCTAAATCATTTTTAATGAAGCTGTGAGTAGCAGAATAATACACAATGTGCCTCAGATACACAGCATAGCAGGACCTAGATAATGAGCTAATTTTCCCCACATCTTGAGAAAAAGAATAATAAAGTACTTCTTTATGAACAATGTTTAAAAAATATAAACTGGAGAACATTCTCCAGGAACTAAAGTCTAAGAAACCCCAGGGGGATCCATCAGAGGCAGTCTCTGGGAAGGGGGAGGGATTCTCCACAGCTAGGAGAGGCTGCAGCAGCCCCTACTTTTGCTGTGAATGGTGACAAGCAGCAGTCTGGGAATGGAGGGGGTGGCAGCAGCGTTTGGCAGCTCTTTAGCAATCTTCATGACAAATTTGGGTAGATCCAGTTGGTGGCTTTGCCAGTGGGGGCCAAAGAGGCAATGGAGCCGCCTTCTTCATGGAGGTGGGAGATTCCCTTTGCTTGAAGAAGAGAGAAGAGGGAAGAGGAGGAAGGATGAGGGAGCTCAGGTCCTTATAATCTTGCCGACCTGGAATGAGGAAGATCAGAAGTCAGGCTGGATGCTAAACAGTACTGTTAGGGATGTGATAGAGATGGTTCCGTGGGCTTCAATGATGGCTCATCACTGAAGCTGAGAGAACCATTTAAAGGAATTGGGGCTCCTTTAGTTACACAGTGAAAGAGGGACAACAGAAGGCATGTGGTATAAGCGAATTGGGGTCTGAGCCCCTCTATTCTTTCACTCAGTAGTTGTGTGGGCCTTGATATTTCTTGCCCCTGGTTTTCTAGAATGGGGATATAACAACTATTCTTCATGACTCATAGGGAGACTGGCTCAACTGAGGAGGCCAAAATGAGTGTTTTGTCATAGGAATGTTTCAGGCCATTGTTTTTTAACAACAGGAATTTGTGACAGGAAGAAATGGAAGAGTGAGATGGTCCCAGTGTTAGAATTTAAAAGCATCTCCCTGCAGGGAGGTTTTCTCTCACAGTTGGAGACTCACCGGAGGCACCCCACCCCCACCCCCAGCTTGGAAGCCCCCTCACCTCAGTTGGACCACAGCCGTAGCGTCATGAGTATGTTAAAGCCAGCCACTTTCAGGAGGAGGATGCGGAGCCCCATCACTGACAGGTTTTGAAAGTTTAGGTTTATATCTGTAAAACAGAGAGACCACAGCCGTTATAGACACACGCACCAGAGGTCTGCACAGCTCCTTAGGACACCAACAGCTTTTCCAAAGCGGGTGGGACAGGTGGGGGGTGAGTTTCAGCTCCTGGATCCACCTCATTTTTTGAGCTCCTTGTGTAAATATATTTATATACTGTGTAAATATATTTGTGCATTCCTCCAGGTTTAAAACAAAACAAAAACACCTACTGGGGTTGCTCCTTGTTTTCTTTCTGAGCCCTTGTGGGGATGGGGATGGGGATGGGGATGGGGTAAGAATAGGTGCTCAGAATTTATCACTATAATCCCTTGGGTCCTGGTCCTTTAGTGAGACAAGTGGCTGAACCACAGGAGGGATGATTGAGGAGGAACAACTTAAGTGGGGCCAGGGGGTGAGGATTGGTGGGGGTCCTTGAGAGACAGGACTCCTGCCCACAAACCATGTAAGTTCTGCTGGTTTGGGAGGGGATATGTCCCTGGGATGACCTGATTGATTCAGGGATATCCCTAAGGGAGTCAGAAAGTTCACAGCTGAATACCCAGCAGCTCTCTTTGGTTCTCCTGATGGGAGCTGTTGAAAGCAATACAGAGGCCTAGGATGAGTAAAACGGAGACTCATCCTCAAAGTACTTGGAATGGAAAAGAAAATTCGACATTTTGAGGAGGACTTAAGACCGACCCCAGGCAGCTCCAGGCAGGTCATAGCTGCTATTCTGCTCCTCATGACTTCATTCCCAGATCTATTCCCCCTGCCCCTACCCTATCTAGTCAGAGTTATTGTGGGTTTGTTGCCTCCCCAGTGCTGTGACAAGCGGGATAGACCTTTCTCTTACCTGTTTCAAAGCTTTTCTCTACCAACTTCGCATCACAGGGAATCTCTAAAAGGAGAAACAAGAGTTTTTCTTAAAGTCCAGAGCATGCTGACTCTCCCATCCCAAACCTCCTGGTTGCTGGGCTCGTGAGTATCTATAGCCTTTCCATGCTTTCTTAGGGAGAGATCTGGAAGGAACTTATTGCACAAGGGCACCTCCCCAGCAGGAGGCCTGAGGACCAAACACCCTGGCTTCTGGGCACCATTGCACTGACTCAGCAAACGCTGGCTGTGCAAAGTGCAGGTTGTATGACATGGGCCACAGGGAAACCTTAAGATAGAGCTTGCCCTTGGTCAGGCTGCAGTGTGGAGTCTAACCAGGGAAGTGAGATCAAAACAGTGATAAGAACAATAGGGCGATAGATACTTAAATGTGTTCCAAAAAGTTTTGATCCTTGTATTCCAACTTTGTTTCTTTGTTTTCTCTCTCACTGACTTAGTTGCTCAGCTTTGAATCCAGCCACCTTCCTCAATGCCCTATTTTCTTTCTCATCTCTAAGTGGTTTCATCCTTGAAACCCAAGTGCTACCACCCTGCCCAGGCCTCTGTCATCTCTCTCTGCTGCTATTGCTTCCTTTCTTCTTTCACTCTGGACCATTCTCCACACACCAATCAGACTGACCTTCTAAAAAAGTAGTTTAGGGGTCACCCCTCCCTCCCACCCCCAGGCACAACCAATCAATAGCTTCCCAATAAGTAAAATAGTTATCTATCCTCTCATGGTCTTGAAGCTCTGTTCTCTGGTCCATGCTTACATTTTCTAACTCATTTTCTGCTGCTTTTCCCAGCTGTCAGCATGGTCCTGTCTCAGGCCTCCATGGAGTTCTCTCTCTGGCATGGCATGTGGGTACCTTGTTATTCTTTAACCCAGCTCAGTAGCATTTTTTTCAGAACCCTTTACCCTAAGGTGACTCTGTCTTTAAGTCTAAGTTAAAGTACACATTACAATCTGAAATTATACAGATTTCCTCTGCTGAGGGATGGTCTTCCCTAATTGGAATGAAGCTTCCTCAGGGCAGACCCTTCACTGGTGCATGGTCCTGTGCCTAAGCAAAGGCTGGGAGGCCAGACCTCACAGAGCAGGTGAGACCTAGGCTGGGTCACCACCCTCTACACCTGCTCTCTCATCTTCTTTTTGCCCTTAATTGCCCTTTTCTTTAAATGGGCTTCAGGATGAGGCTGACTGCTCCTTAGTAAAAAGAAAATGGGAGATTTTCTGACAATTGATGAAGCCGAGAGCACCAATCAGAGTAGCTTTCATCTATCATTAACCTAAGCTTTGGGTAGAACCATGCTTCTCTGGAAGCAAGGAGATGAAGTGTGTAAGGGCAAGGGGGAGGTTACTCACCTGAGCTGGAGAAGGAGAAGTTCTGGGTGAAGGCACTCGTACAAGTGAAGTTAGGTTTGTTGCTCCAGGCCAAGGCGCCGTTGCTCTTGGAATCCATGGACTTCATGTCCAGCACAGTGTTTCCGGAGACAAACATTTTAGAATCCTCATTAAATTGTGATGACACGTTGATGTTAGAATCAAAATCGGTGAATAGGCAGACAGTGTTTCTGGATTTAGAGTTTCTCAGCTGGTACACAGTTGGGTCAGGGTCCTTGATGGCTGTGGGCCAAGAGGACTGGGATTAGAAGATGCTTTTGCTTTCTTTGCTCCAACCTATACCAGAGCCCAGATGCAGGTGATAAACAAGAGCGAGGCTCTCTGGGGCTGGGTAGTCTCATTCTCAGGCTTTTTTGGGGGGGAGAAACCAGCTGCTGGAAATGGACTGGGACTTTGGGGACAAACACATACTATGAATCTTGGGCAGTTGGTCAGGATTTCAGTGAATCCCTGGCCAGGCCCTTTCTGCTATTCTAGGAAACAAAAATGAAATTGCTCATTCTTCTACTGAATAGGAACTTCTTCAAAACCTCAGTAAGCCTAGTCAACAACATTGTTCTGGCAGGACAAAAGCTAGTACAGGGAAAAAAAAAAATGCCCAGAAAAGCAAACCATGCCTCTTGGAACCTAAGGTGTTTTCCCCCACTTAGGTTGGGCATTGGCAGGAAATGGAGACTTAGGATATGTTGGCATTAAACTGGAAAATCTATCACACCACCAGGAGATTTCTCTCTCATTGATAATACTATGGACTCCACACTAGGACACCTACATTCAAGCCCTGGCTCTCCTATTTGCTAGATAACTAGATATAAGGCCCTAAGGACTCACACCAGCTTTTTCAGGAGGACTTTGTGTTTTTAGTAAGACTCTCATTGTTTATTCTTTTCAACCTCCGCCTTTAGAAGAGGAAGCAGAGGTTTGCCAGGAGGATTAACATGTTGGGGCCACCCAGAATGTTTCCAGCAGGGCTGGGATTAGAATTTCCTGCCTGTGTGGTTCTAGGATCCCACAGCTCCTCCCTATGCACATAAGGTTTCTCAGACTCCTGCTGCACTCTGCTTGCTGAGCCAGCCTTGGTGGCCTAGGTGATGCAGATATTCTGCTGGATCCCAAACCAGAGAAATCAGTGCTTGGCATGACCCTGGGGTGTTGAGTCAAGGAGAGCAGCCTGCTGAGCGGGGCCACCCCTGGAGCAGCAGAGCAGGGGTGGGCTCTGTGGTCAGGCATCTGAAGCTTTGTTTGTCCCTTTTGGGGACAAAAAATGTTGTACTAGAGGTACTGATATATATATCATCTTTTTACTTTCATCTTCAGGTACCTCTAGTGCAACCTTACTTTTTTTTTTTCCTGAAAATAAGAAACGGTCACTTTTAACTTGGAGGTCATTAGGGATCCACCTGCCAGAGCCCTGTGGGGAGGGACATCCTATTCCACCCCAGCATGAGAAACACATTCTACCACTGACAGTGTCAGAAGGTAGCCTCAGCAAGACAATCAATTTTTCAATGTGGAAGTTCATCTATTCTAGATCCTAACCTGTCATCATAATTCAAAACTAACTGCAGAAGCACATGTCTGAATGCTCTAGTGCTTTAGATCCCTGGGGGGCAGAGCAGTGATTGAAAGCTCCCTTACCACTAAATCTGTGCTCTGCAGTAAGGCACTAGGAACCAAGAAATGAAAGTTAGTGACACTGATCTGTGTCTCATTGAAGCTTTGTAGAGTGTCAGGAAACAGCGTGGGCAGACTTCTGAGGAATAATGGAAACTCTGAGCCTTTGCCAAACTGCCCCCAGGAGGCAGGTGCTTCCTTACAGAAAGTCCTCAGGTTTCTCTTTCCAGAGCCCACGGAGGAAGGAGAGGGAAGGTCCCTAGGCCATGGACCATCCGTGGAAAGAGCTGATCCTTCTCACCTCCTATCTGGTCTGCATTTCTAAACTGAATTCTCAGATTACTGGTGTCTGGTCTTGGCCCTAATTTCTGTATTCTATTGCAGGCTCTAGTATTCCTTATCTCCGTGGTCTAAGAAAATACAGTCTTTGCCTTGTCTCTCAATCCAACTTGATCATCAGATGTGTTCACTTAGACCAAAAGTCATGTGCTTTGTTCATTCCCAAGGTCATATCTTTTTTATTGTTGTTCCTTGTACCTAGAATCCCACTTCTCTCCTCTTTCTGCCCATACAAATGTTAACTTATCCTCAGGGCTCAACAAATCTTTTTTTTACCACATAAAACATCCACTATCTTGGACTTTTCTTCCAGGATCCTAACTCATCTGGATCTCTTATGCCCATTGACATCATTAATTGTTAATAATAAAACAGTTTTTAAGAGGGTAAACATACAACAGTTCTGTACTTTTGGCTAGCCTTTAAAAAAAATTTTGTAGTTGTTGATGGACATCATGCCTTTATTTTATTTGCTTGTTTGTTTTTATGTAGTGCTTAAGCTCAAACCCAGTGCCTCACACATGCTAGGCAAGCACTCTTCCACCGAGCTACAGCCCCAGCCCCTTTGGCTAATCTTTATATTATTTGGGGACAGGTCAGAGATCTATCTTACGCTGCTTCATATGCACTGTAACATTTTATAGAGTGATAGCTACTTAGAAGGCATTTAAAAATATCCTGAATGATTAAAGTCAAATTTTAATGTGTTTGACCTAGAGAAACATAGATATTCAAAATTGATAGTGATGCCTTTCCCCTTCCCAGACCTCTGTAAGACAATTAGTTACAATATCCACAGTTAGCCTCACCAGGGTAATAATGGATATCCCTGGGGAACGAATTAATGACACTAGTGCATGGGGTTGCAAATAGCATAACCTAAGATGACTCACCAGATAGTATGGACACTTGGGTCCCTTTCCCAAATATGAGTTTACCAGTCATTCCTCCAGTATTCACACTGCAGGCAATGCCATTACAGAAACTCATTGGAGAAGCACTGATGTCCCCGAGGACAGGAGGATCACACTCCTAAGAGTGAGGCCTTCTGCTATTTTGTCTTGAGATTTTTGTCTCTGGTATGTAAAGTTATTTTTTCTTGCCCAATTCTGCAATGGTACCCTGAGCTGAGTTTGTGAGTTCATGTGATTTCCACAAATTCAGTAGATTTCAGTGGAGCAAAATCCCCTATTCAGGGCAGCAATATCTTAGATCCTCTAGTGGAAGGTTCAGAAACAGAACTTATCATCTGCCATGTAATTCTTAAGGTCCCAGTCTAAGGATAATGTCTCCAAAGCACTTAGGGCTGCTAGTGGGAGAATTTCCTGGAGGTGGGTAGAAAGAACCATTTGGAATCCTATAGACGAGAATACCTGGACTCAAGTCAGTGTCTTGGACAAAGAAGAAATAATTGTCTATTCAACCCTTGCCCACTCTACTTACTTGGCTGGGTACTCAGTCTGGTTCCTGCTCCAAAGATTAGATTGACTGCCATTGCTGTGTTCCCACTGTGGGTAACATCTTTGGAATAACTCTCCTGATGTGAATCTGCTGGAACCCCCACCCCTCACCCTCGTCCATCCTCCCTGGGTCTCAGAGAACTATCGTACAAGGCTTGACCCATCTTAATTTCTTACTTTCCTGTTTCCCAAGGGAGCTGGTCCTTTACAATAATCTTAGTATAGCCAAGTATAGCTTACTATTATAATAACAATAATATATCAGAAAAGTTATAATAACAATAATATATCAGAAAAGCTACTACTTTTTTGTTATCTGTGGGGTATTATTTCATATTGTGATGTGGTTATTGTCATTTTGCTGTTGGGAGTAGAGGCTGCATTAAATACAGCTGGTGAGGATAGAGCTAGAATTCCCCTGTCTGTCATCCTTTCTATGCTTGTTACTCATGTGGAACCTGCCATCTAGATAGGGGCCTGGACCACTTTTACCCCTGGGTGAGGATTTACGACTCTACTGTCCTCCAGAGAGGAAGATTCTCTGAGCAGGTATCCCTGACCATGCTCATTAGCCAACCCAGGGAGTTTAGCCACCTGCTGCAATAAAAGAGAATTTGTGTTTGCCATTAACTCATCTCTTTCCCCCAAGGGCACTAAGCTAATTTCCTGAATGTTCAGATTATCTGGTGCTGATATTATCAGCTTCGCTTCAAAGCACCGAGTATCTGGAAATCTTTTTATATTTCCGTAAATTATTCTGTTCCGATTTTCATTTACTCAATTGGCTCTTGGCACTTCTGACTTTAATATGAGAAATGGGAACATTTCAAGTCACCAAGAGAGCTTGTAGAAATGGAAAATGAAGGCTTCATATATCCTCAGGTTTGCTATAAATCATTTGCCTGTTTTCTCTTGGACAAGTCAGCGGTTCTTTTTGCCCTGGTCATTGGCACTGTCATACTCACATGGGCGCACAGCCAGCCTGGTCCCTGCTCCAAAGATCAGCTTACTGTAGCTGCCTGACAATGCACAGTAGGAGGATGCTTTACAGGAACTCTCTCACTTAGGCAGGACTGGCCTGGCTGGGACACTTGCTTCCTGTCCCTGTGTCCCAGTCTCTTTCAAGTCAACCCTTCTCTGACCAGATGGAAAACTCATGCCCATTGGGTCGAATTCCTCACTTTTCAGCGTAATGGCTCCATAGCCCTTTCCTTGGCCGGTCTGGAACTGGCCAGGCCTTCCTGGAAGAGGAGCCCCATTTTGGGTTCTGCAAGTGAAGGTGAGGGAGGAAACTTGGAAGAGTGTGGAGAAGAGCCAGAGATTAATTGGGAAATGGATCATGAGGGAAAAAATGCATAGCAACAGCAATAGATGGAAAACCTTGGGCAAGGCTTAATGATGGAACCCAGGCCTAGGAAGGGCTCTTCTTTCAGAAAGTGGCTTCTATTATTCCTTGAGGGCACAGAGACTAAAACTGCCACAGGAATATTCACATAAAATGTACAATGTGGACTGTTTTCCCAGGAAGGTTGTGGGAGAAGTTACTTATGGGACCTGAGAATCTCTTTCTCTGGAGATCTGTAAATTAGAATTGACATTCATATGGAGGAAAACCCCCAAAGTTTGAGAATGGCTCAGACAAATACTTATCAAAATTTCACAGAACCTATTCCTTGTAAGTTTCTCTGGAAAAAGTGATTCTAAGCTTGAATAAGTTTGGAATATGCTTTATGCTCCTATTTTGGTCTTGAAGATTGACAATGCATATTAGCGTTCTAAAGTCTCTGAAAAGTCTTGCAATAAGTAAAT